GGGAGATCAATCCCTGATTCCCCCTCACTATCAAACGCTAACAGCTACTCTGGCCTTTTAAAAGAATTAAACGAAGACAGACCACGTATTACGCACATCCGATTGGATGTTTGTATCAACCAATCCGCTGTGCGAACTATCTTTTAAATGGTTCACGGTGGGGACTGGCTCCATTTTTTTTTTTTTTTTTTTTTTGGTGTATTGCAGTTTCAATGGAGGTAATCTTAGTGTCCCTAAATTTAACCCTTTTCCTTAAGTATTGTATAGTTTAAATTTTTGCTGTTATTATTTTATTTGTACATTTTTTTTAGGTGGGGAAACTTAAAGTCAACCCTACTATCACATTTTATCATTTAGTCTCTTTCTTAACTTCACAGGTTAAATTATTTAAATGACTTCACAGGTTAAATTATTTAAATGGTTGTATTTGCAAAATTAAAAAAATTGTTCATAAACATGGTGTATATTTTCCCTGTACACACAAAAAATAAAATTAAAAATAAAAGTACAATAAGCAGTATAATATTCCTTAACATTGATTTAAAACTATTTACAAATTTGAAGTCCTTAAATACAATAGACTACGAAATGCTCTTGGAATATATTAAGTATTAACGAAGCTTCATATTATATTTATATATATATGTATCGCTTAAAACCGATGACAATTAAACTAATAAAATAAAATAAAAATAGTAATATACAAACGATATATAGCGATGATCGAGAGAAAAATAACTATAAATACATTATATACGTGTTATTATTCCGATTAAAATATACAAAATGTGAAATGTTCGTATAAATATAAAATTTTTTAAAAAAAGAAACAATAATAGACAAAAATGTCTTACGTTCGAATAAATATAAAATTAAAAAAAATAAATATGAGAAAAAAAATATGAGAATAATAGACAAAAGTCTTATGACAAGGGTCGGCAACCTACGGCCCGCGAACCGGATCCGCCCCGCGAAGGCATTTTGATCGGCCCGCGAGCCTGATAACTAATGACTCTATTTTTAACATGAGAGACGAGGCTTTCGAATTAGACTATCTGCCGGTTATCTTTCATGAGACTTTTTTTACCAAGTTGCGTTGCCTACGTTTAATGTCAAATAATGGATACATATTTGTTATGACCCTTGGCTACATTAAAAGATAACAGAAGTGAAAGGAACGATAAAGTGAAAGAGGCCAGGGAGGGACTGACTTGTGAGTTAGCAGAAATCTAAAGACAGTTAAACATACGCGCATTACACATACATGCCTCATGAATGTGTGGATGATACCGCATGTGTACGTACGTAAGGGTATATGTTTGCAACTATTTGTACTCATATGCATGGGTATATGTGCTTCGTTTGTGTGTGTGTGTGGTTCGTTTGTGGAACAATTTTCAATAACAGTTTCAAACCTACACGTCATAAAAATAATTGTCAGATGTTAATGAAACTTTCAGAAACTATTCACAGATGATCGAAATTATTATAAATATGTTTTTTTTTAATCAAAGTCATGGCAGAAATATTTTTTTAATTTATTAAAACCCCCATAACTAATTTTATGAAAACTCTAGAAATTCGAGCGCATCAACTTTAGTGATTACAATAGTTAAAAGCAAAAGGCTTTAAAGAATGCAAATCATGTTTTTTTTTTGTTTTTTTTTTTTAATTGGATCCGCGGTACCTGAAAATCAGCTATGAATTGTAACATACAAAACTCAATAAAACAAATATATTATTTAATTTCAAATGCTTTTATTTGTTTTTAGTTGTTTTTATGAATATGGACAATATTTTCTGAAAGCAAAATTTTTTTTAATGAAAATTGAATTTTTAATACAATTATTTGTTATTACTTTAATTATAATAGATTTTTACATTAAGTTTTTTAAAAATATTATAACATTAGTTAAAAACCACGTCAACTTCTCAAAGTGTCCTTATGAGATTGTCATTGTCTAGCGCTTTGAAAATTGTATCATTTGGACCAATCAGAAGATCCGCAGTAATTAAGAAATGTAATTTTGTGTTTATAATCGGGCGGTAATTATAAAGTACAGAAGACCAACCAGAATACAATTTAGTTGCATTATTTGAGTTCAGCATTGTTCTCCGCTGTTAAGGCCTTTACTTTTGCGAAACACGTATGGAGAAGTTAATTTGAGTTTTCAATTTCAACTGAGAAGGGTACCTACAAGTATCAGTATCATCTTATGAAATTTAACTACTGCTAAACTTTAATTTATATGATCTTATTTTTATATTAATCTCAGTTATGACATTTTTCCATAAATGAAATATCAAAATTAATAATAAAATGAATGAAAATACAAATAATACAGTAAAATGTAATAAATGTACATAAAATTATAGTATTTTATGTACACTTCTGATAAAATTTCATAAGAACGGTACATATAAATTAATTAGATACCTTTCTTATGAAATTTAATCTCACTAACAACAGTCTTATTTTTTAATTTCTTTATATTTTCCATAAAGCATCGTAAACGTAAAGATGAAAGCTAAGTACAAAAAAAAAAAATTAAAAAATTAGAGCGCTGAAAGTTTTCCTTAAAAGTAACGAGGTAAATAATTTGCTCACTTAAATCTAAATAATTTCACTTCCTTCCATCCGTAGAATGACGAATGATGTTTTATTTTCAAATTATATTTTTTCGGCGCAGAAGCTAAGTTAAGCTTGGTTCAACATATTTTAAATAAACAGTATAATTTCTGATTCTATTAAAATAAGTTTTGAAAAAATGATAATTGATTTTTAAACGAATATCAAAGTCAGATTTTCATCATTTTTATAAAATGGAAAAAATGATTGAAAATGATGGATTATCTGTTCTTTTTTTAATATTTTCAATATTTTTAACGAAAATTTCAGACGTGCTAGGAACGATTAAAAAATGTAAAAAAATCCCCCCAAAATACTTTGATCTTTCCTCTTTAATAATAATATGAACATTAGACAATAAAATTTTGTTTTCGTCAAGTTCGGCGTCTTTTTCATCATGCTATGCTCTTTTTGTTTACATTTCGTAGAAGTACCTATCCAAATAGAATTGGATCTTGGTTCTTCGGCCATTACACTGGTCACCACGATTTTTGGTGCCAAGAAACAAAAACCGTTTTTTAGCTAATTTGATGATGCTGATTCAGAAAATGGCCTTAGTTTTTAATGGTTAGCTACCATTTTTGCTGTATTGAAATTGCTCATTTTTGGAAAAAAGATCAATTTACGATCATGGCTGATCGCAAAATTTAGTTAATAAAGGTCGTAGAAACTTACCTGTTTTCAGGTAGGCCGATCAATTTATGTCAGGCACCTGAAACAAACTATTTTTATAAGAAAAACGTGCTTTTGAATCTAAAATTTTCCAATAGAAGTACCAAAATTTTCCAATTTATCGCCAAAATTCAAATTAACTGATAAACTTTATCAGTAATTCACTTGAGTAAACCTGATAATTAATGCGACGTTAAAAAATGAAACCCTCAAATCTTCTGTTTGATATTCATAAATATATCCCATCACTTTTATCCTTTCACTGCAGAAGGAAACCACGCATACTGAGAGCATTTTGTTTTCACAGTTGGAAAGAAACTCCACTTAA